GACCAAGTTCAGATCGCGGCGGATAAACACGTCGTCCGAGTACCAATGGGCCCAATCGAGCGCACCCTCAACGAGGAACTTCATGATCTCGAGCAGCTTGGTCGGATCCTCGGGCGGGTGCTCCTCCAGCAGCCAGTACAGCGTCAGCATCATGTCGCAGACGCGCACGCGGCCCCAGCTGACGTCCTCCTCGTTGAGCTCGTCGAGCGGGTGCCGCAGGTAGCCGCGCAAGCCGTTCGCCAGCATCGAGTGCATCAGGTCGAGGAACTTGTACGTGGCGGCCAGGCCGCGCTCCCCGTACCTGTCCACGTCGGCCTCCATGAGCTGCGTCAGGCCGAGGAAGAACGGATAGCGCGCCCAGAAGTTGCGATAATGGCCTTGTTCGGGCCCAATCCAGCCATCGTCGTGCTGGTTGTCCAGCACGTACGTGACCGCCCTGTCGATTTGTTCCTTGAGACGATCGTCGTCGAGCGCGTAGGCCAGCGGGACGATGCCGTTGAACCAGTACGGAAACCCCTCGTTCAGAGAGCTATACTCTTCCTCGCCGCCAACCCACGAGCTATTGGCGACGTATTTGTAGAAGTCGAACTCATGGCCAGCGAGACCGTCTGCCATAAGCTGCATTTGGTCGCGCAGCCAGCCCTGGGGCTTGATGTGCCCGACAGGCGGCGAGCGGAACTTGACAGGCAGTACTTGAGATTCAAGTTAGCCAGATGAGGAGCCATGGGTCACTCGCCCAAACAGAACGCGCCGATGTAGACAAGCGCAAGAAGGGACATACGAGGGTTCTGATCACCATCCATAGCTTGGCCGCCCGGGAAGAGGGCTGCAAGTGCCGCAAGGCCGACGCCGTAAAGAGACTTCATGGTGGATACCAAGGCGCAAAAGTGGTTGAGGAAAGTGCAGAAGAGGAAAGAGGAGGACTGAGGTTCAAGGTATGAGGAAGGAAAGTTAGAGATTGAAAAAGAATAAAGAGAACATGTGGAGCAGTACTGAGGTAGAAATCTTTCTGCAAAGGCGTCAAGCAAGGTGACGACAACAGTGACAACAATAGCGAGTAAAATCACAGTGAGTACACGTGCAGGCCAACGCATATTAAGCACCACCATCCACGACGATTTCGCTTCCACGTTCACATCACGATCTCGGCTAGAGCTGGCGTTCGCTGCAGTGCGCCGCTTCTCGCACATTTTTACGTGTAGGTGATCATTCATCATCATTAAGAGCTTAGGCGGGCCAGGGGTGCTGTGGACCTTGGCGAAGGCAGGCGTGATCGCTCGTTGGCCACCCGATGCCGCAAACTCAACGAAAGAGAATTGCTAAAGGCGCTTAAGCGGAACTCGATTGGAGAAGCGATGCGGAGATATGGGAGCCTAGCAACATCACAATTGGTGCGCTGGAAGGATACGCAACGTGCGGGCGTAAGCAGAGGGCGACGGGGTCGCAAAGCGTGGTTGTTTCTCGACAAGCTCTTGTGATCTGCCAATAAATGCCGCCCGTTGCCTGTCCGGCGCCCGGCTGGTGGGACTGCACCCCGCCATGCCATACCCGCTCCCGCCCGCTAGCAATAAGCTTGCAGCGCCGCTTCCCGCGCACCGCATGGGCGGAATGACCTGCCCCAAGGAATCCAGAAATTCCGGGGGCCCACCGCTGCAAGAGCCGGGGCCTGTCCGAGCGAGCCCTCCCGCGGGCACGGTCGCCAGGAACCCTCGAATCGGGATCTTTCACGTTGCAGGAAAACGTGGCCTTGGCGGCGATCAGGTTAAGGGCGCGGGCAGACATCACGTCCAGCAGCGGTCCAAGTGAACATGTCGCCAGGATCCTCGCTGCGAGACGCATGCGCCGGTGCTCCACCAACGTCACCTATCGTTCGCAGTCTTCCTTCACATATTGCGCGCTGTGACCATCTCCCCGCCCCAGTGAATTTCATGCGTTAGGACCGCCTGTTCTGCCGTACTAGTCCATTGCTGCGAGCTCCAAGCTGCACAGCGCCTGCATTGATGTTCTGGATGCCCACTTGCACCTTCTAGAAGTGGAGCATCCGCCGACATGCCTATCCGCCGGGCAAGAGCATATACCGCGAAAGGCATGAATTCTTTTGCCCTAATAGGGTCCCCTCTCGACGAATCCGGACACTCTCATATGAAGCGCCAGGGCGGTAAGGCTAGCGCCGCCTGCACATAGCAGCGTTACCATGCGCGAAGGTGAGGTTGCAGTGACCGGCCCGGCGTCGCGCAAGGAGCGCACTCTGTGCCGCGCGAAGCTCGCAATGTACTCCACAGACAGCCGTCTCGGGGGTGGGGAACAGAAATACTCGACGTGGGCAGGGGCCGCGTGGCCGCCCTTCTGCCAATCTCTCACACGTCAAATCTGTCCATGCTCCAGATCTCGACATCCTTAACGTCGTCGGCCGACGCCGGCGTGATGATGCGCATCGGCCGCGGCTCGCCGTTCTGCGCGCGCTTCTTTTCCGAGTTGGGCACCAGGGGTCCGACCTTGAACACCCGGCTGCCGAGCCCGACCCACTTGAGGCGTGGGCAGTGGTCGCGGACGACCTCGGCGCTGAGCACGAAGGCGTGCGTCTGGTCGCCCACGGATGCGAGGTGGCTCTCCAGATTCTCGTCCCGGGGGAAGAGGATGCGTAGCGCGACGAGCTTCGGGAGGCCCATCAGCGCGTAGCGCAAGGCCTCGAGCTCCTTGTTCGCGTAGATGGAAACGCCCAGCTGCTCGAGGTGCGGGCACGCGTGGACTATGCGCATGATGACATTGTGGTCTAGCGTCCACTGGTCGCTCAGCAGGAGGTGCCGTATCGACTCCCCGTGGCTCTTCGTAATAGCCGCTATGACGTCGGACGCGACACTCACGAGTTGTTCCTGCATTGAGCTGCTCGTCGGCGAAAGCGGCGTTCCCGCTCGAGCCTTGGACGTGGCCACTTGACTATCGCTGTTGCTGCCGCCCGGAGTGGTGCCCGCGGAGCTGCCCGACTTCGACTGTGGAACGTACCGCTCATTGACAACGTACAGGCACTCGAGGCCGCTGAACTCGTTCATTAATCTAGCCAGTTGTGCTGTAGGCTGGTCAATCCGGAGAACCTTCAGGTTCTTAGCCAAGTGGTGCGGTTTGTGACTCAGCCAGTCTTCGTCCAGAAACACGGTAGACGGGTCGGTCGCCGACTGCCCGCAATTGATTGTAACCACTTCCCTTAGCGTCTCCATATTAATCACATGCTCCAGTTCCGCCTGGTGTTTGGCGTACATATTTGCCACGGCGACGCGCTGCACCGGGAGGGCATATCCGGCAAGAACACATTTGCCGAATATTGCGTGGACATTTATGCTTGGCTCGCCCTGTTCTCGCATCCGCGGGCTGAAATGAACCGTGAGGTCTAAAAGCTTCTTCGAGTTCAGTAGTAAGACAGAGATGTCATCCGGGTAGCACAAAGGGTCCAGTTCAATAGCTTTAAACGTTTTCAAATTTGGCATTGGCGGAACGACGGTTACCGGGCGCGGCACGCGAGTCGAAGGGAATTTGATGATCAACGAAGTCAAACCCGAGCAGCTCGCGAGACCTTGGTAAACGGCCCGCATCGGCTTAGTGTTGAGCTCCCAACTGCGCATCAAATCCGGTCAGCGCCAGACCGAAGCTTGTGTGAGGGCCGTATCCCGTCTCAACCCACCTAAACGACCGCAGCCTAGGCATGTTGCCGATCGCGACCCGCACCACAGTGTTTAGCATCATGGAGCTGTCTGGCACGCGACCTCTGGTAAAATCTTCCAGATCGTGCTCCCTCCATTCGCCGCATAGCCTCAGCGACTTCACGTATTGACCCTTATCGCCAGTCACCAGCCCGTTCAGTCCCACTGAAAAGGGGCTGCCGCTCCCGTAACCTTCCGGTTTGCCATTTATGTACCGGATTTGATCGTAGGACCGGAGGGTAACCCGCTCGTATAGCAGCGGGGTCACCAGGTAATAGAAGAAGCGCGAAGTGCGCACGAGTCGAGCGAGGTCCGCAACATCATCGACCTATCAAAGAGTCCGGAGGGTGTCAGCAACAGCAGGCTCGAGGGAAGGGACAGGCGTGAACAGAGCGCAATGGTCACGTACGAAAGATATTATCCTAACTGAAACACTCAGAGGAAACCGCACGAAAAGCGCGACCGCGTCCATGGCGACCGGGGACGTGTGCACGGATTGGTAGGGCAGGCCACTGCCATGGCGGTCCATGGCAGTTAGCGGTCGGCCTTGCACGCGTGCGCGGGCGAGGACACGATGGCGGCCGAGGACATCCAAACAAGGCGCGTATCGCGAGGGTTGGAGATCGATGGGATAATGACAGATAAAATTCAAATGCAACCCATGCGCCGCGGGGGTACACCAGGATGACATGTGCTTGCGGACGCAGTGCTATAATACAAGGAGAGAGGAGAAACGGCCCGCTACATGGCGTCCGAAAGGTGAGAGGGGCAGCCCGATCTGATGTAGTCCGGGCGCCGAAAAAGGCGATGCTTGCGCGCAAACACCGTCGGGGCGCTTCTAGAAGTCCTGGACGGCGTGCGGCGGACTCGCGGAGCCAGCCCGGCCCAAGCTTTTCCGCCAGGCTCCAGCATTCTGCGCGTACTTCGTTTGGGACAAGCCGATCCGAAACCTTAGGCACGCCAAGCAGCAGCATTCAAGGCGTGCGTAACATTTCCTCCGCAAAAAGAACGGAGAAAGAGAGGAACGAAAAAGCGTCGCCTGTCTGGATGGAGCATATAAGCAAGCGCGTGTATCATCGCATTTTAACTGCCAAGTCAAATCGTTCGTCGTGCAGTCTCTGGAGCACTGAACGAAATACGACGTACTACGTACATATCTCAGAGATCGACCGGATAGCAGCAAGGATTCTGCTCTGTGTCCAGGAAGCTGCGGAAGCTAAACTGCGCACGGCAAGTGGGATGGCAGGCTTTGTTGCAAAGGCTAGCTGATATATTGAATAAATGCTGAATTTTTGCTGTACTTCTGGCGCAGTGGCGGAGTGGTTATCGCGTATGACTCGAATTTGAACGATATCATATTCCTTCGGGAGCACAGGTTCGAATCCTGTCTGCGTCGTGGTAAACTTTTATTTTGCAATTTTTTTTCTCGCAGTTTCATTTAGAGTGTCAGGTTTCACATTTCGGCTCTTATTCCTTTTCCAAATCCTGTATGCTTCACTTGGCATCATGGTAGCCCTTGCGATCGGTGCTTTACTTATCGTTGGATCCAACTTGAAGTTGTTACTGGTCTCACATCTCCCTCTACAAGTCACATTACAAACACATTTTATCTTAACTAAATTCGCTAACAACGCCAGAGTTTTCCAAAATACTTAAAGTCATTCCGTTCCTCTTGAGGAGACATACAGCGCATAGTGCGCTGCACTTCTGGCATGTTGCACGCTTTTGGTGAGCACTTTTGGGAGATGCAATAATAACGGAAATGTCAAATCACACAAGGTTTTTTCGTACAAAGATTTATAAAATGTGCTCAATTTGGTGTACGGCATTACCCGTATTGATTTGAACTCCATGCATTTTCCCATGCTGTATTTAGTGACAGAGCATATAGGCATCTAGCCTCTCGGGATATTTAAATTTGCCTATTCAGTATTTGCTTACTCGAAACAGAAACGGAAACAGATCCTTCTTGTAATTTTATATAAACCAGCCATTCCTAAATTACAAGTATCCTTGTATAATCTCACAAATAATTGCGAACTGTAAGTCTCTTATGATACGTCTAAATATCTGCCGTATACTCTTATAGATGCGCTACCCACTACCGCTATATATGCTCGACAGACGCAAATGGCTCCACGTATTCACATCCGATTAGTAGCATCTCTCCATTTTACTGTCTTCACCATTCAGCACTGACAAGCTTAAGATGCAATTTTGGGCATTCTAAGCGTTGGGACAGGAGAACTTGCTCGCCCGCTGATCGACAGCCAGGTCTGGCACAATAAAGGGTATCAAGGCACTACTAATACATGAGCTTCTACGATTTGGCATAAGGTATATACTATATACTACGATTGTATGCACAAGAAGGCTAGCTAGTTAGATGTGATTATTCGATCCTCTATTCATTAGCCAGATCTTGAATTTCCGGTATTGGACTCTTCATTTGATAAACGGCCCTCGGTGTCTTTAACGCAACTATATTATTGCCATTAACCCGCGATGAATGCGAACCAAGAAGCTTGTAAATAATGTGACGGGCTCTTGTTTTATAATTCGTTGTATCCTTGTGTATAGCGCTGAAAGATCTTCCGCTACTTTGAGAAGTAACGCACCGTACTACGCCATGTACAGTACACTTAATCTATGCCTTTATCTCTTATCACTGTGGAATATTAGGTGTGGCACATTGATTTTTGGCGTCTGCATCGTGGCTCAGCGTTGCAATGTGGCTCCACCCACAGGCGCCTCTGTATCTAGGTTTTCCAGACGTCATCACGAGCACGCACTCCCCTATCATCACCACAAAAGTCATTCTGTTTTGTCATCGCCATTTTTTTTTTATTTGGTTCTCGTAGCTAGATTAGCCAAAACAATGAAGACATCTGAGCTCACCATTTGCTTTCTCGAATGAAGTGAAGAAGTTTGTGAAAAGATGTTGCGTTGTTGTTGTTAAGCTCCATCCAGAAGAGTGTTCTGCCCTGCTACAGCAAGAACTTTCCCCCAAGGCCGTGTCTCGTCCTCGATGAGTCCGTGAGAGCGATCTTTGGATATTTGCTTTCTCATTAATATGCCGGCGCCACCTACCACGTATGCTGCGTGCCTTCTCCATGCTACGTAATCTCCCTGTACGGTGTAGTATGTGCTCTTCTGTCTCTTCTACTGGTTTCCCGTTCCCCGCAACCTAGGGACCTCACTTTCTACCAAGGCCCCAAAGGGCGAGACATGACAGCTTTCTCGAGCACGCAAGCGGAGTTGGCGTCGCACGTACTTTCTAACTGGACTGCCTTATGTAGCCGTGATCAGTGGTAGAGAACAGACCCGCAGCTCAACTCCCAATTTTGGTATAGTTGAGTCATCATGATGTGGCCATTCAGGTACTAGTGGCGCTCCCTCCAACCTCAGGCCTTCTGGCCCCCTAATATTTCAAATACATCAAAACCCAAGGCAGCTATGCACGATAGGCATTCTCGACTTTGGGGATTTGTTAATCTTGTCACTTAGACCCGACAAGTCACGTGGATCATTCGACTGCGAACGAATCAAACTCTCCGTAGCTAGCTTTCCTAAGTAAGGTCAACGCCACTAAAAGGTAAGTTTCGGGGACAAAATCACCATCAATCATTGGATGTCTCCGATGTCTCCGGCGGGCGCGGGTATATAAAAGAAATTCGAGAGTGCCTACTATATTATAATGTTTCACCTTATTTCCTTTTGCAGGAGACGTTCGTTCCTAGAGCTCCACTAATCAGGAGCCCGACCGACAGACTGAGAAGCAACCATTTGAGGGGACTCATTTTCACCTCGAGAAATGACCACCGAACCCTTAGACGCCCTCATCATTGGCGGCGGCCCGGCGGGCCTGGCCGCGGCAACAGGCCTGGTCCGCCAACTATTCACGGCCGTCGTGTTCGACTCCGGCAAGTATCGCAACGACGTCGCCTCGCACATGCACAGCGTGGTCGGCTACGACCACGTGCCGCCGGCGACGTTCCGGGCCAAGGGGCGCGCGGACATCCTGGCGCGGTACCAGACGGTGCGGTTCGAAGACGTGGCCGTCGAGAGCGTGCGCCAGACGGACGACGGCCTGTTCGAGGCCGTCGACGCCAGCGGCAAGGAGTGGCTCGGGAGGAAGGTCGTCCTGGCGATGGGGGTCCGCGACATCTTGCCGGCCATCGACGGCTTCGCCGACTGCTGGGGGCGCCGCATATTTCACTGCCTGTTCTGCCACGGCTACGAGGAGCGCGGCGCCGCGTCGACGGGGGTGCTGGCGGTTGGCCCCGTCATGGGCAACCCGATGATGGCGATGCATCAGGCGCATTCGGCGAAGCGGTTGGCTCACAAGGTCACGGTGTACACGAACGGCAGCGAGGAGCTCGCCGGCCAGCTGCGGCCGGAAATAGCGGGCGAACCGGGCTTCAGCGTGGACACAAGACCGATATCCGGCCTCGCCAAAGGCCCGAAAGGAAGCGAGGTCGTAGTCAAGTTCGCCAACGGGGACGAACCTCAAGTCGAGGGTTTCTTGGTAAGCTTAATCGACCGAGGCGCGTCTCGTACCGACTGACCCGGCGCAACTAGGTCTACAACCCGCAGACGGAGCCAAACGGCCCGTTTGTCAAACAGCTGGGGCTGGAACTGACCGCGATGGGCGACATCAAGTCGACGCCGCCCTTTTACCAGAGCAGCGTGCCGGGAGTGTTCGCGGCTGGGGATTGCGGAACGATGTTCAAGGTTGTGCCTAATGCAATGGCGATGGGCGGTTTTGCTGCCGGAGGAATCTCATTCCAGCTCCACGGCGGGGACATGTCCCAATTCCAACACTGAAATATACGTAGACACCGTTAGTTCGTCCAATTATAGGGTCTGGGGGGGGGACCTGCAATTGTAGTTGAGTACGACAAATGCTAGATGAACGCGCGACGGATAGAATAGCTTCTGAGGTAAATGGACGCGGCGTTGGTTGCAGCAATGGCACTACTCCAGACTCGTCGTCGCCGTAAGGCTGTGCACCGCGGCAGATGACCTGCCTAGCCGGGACTGTCCGTTGGGCTGGGACGATGATGCATGCGTAGCATAGCTTGGACCACTGAAGGGCGGGGCATTCCGTCGATCGTCTAACAATAGTCACCAATCAACATCCGAGCCCGTCCGTCGTTTCGCTTGCGTTCAAACTGTTCGCCCTGCGCGGGCCCAACTCGCCTGTTCTCACTCGTGTCAACCTTCCTTCCATGGTCTTACGCCGTCTCGATCCAAGTTTGGGAATCCGTCGCGGAGCTCCAACTCACTGACTGTGGCACGCCGCAGACGCAATGGCACCATCGCCGGGCGTATCGCTGCCGAAACCCGAGGATCCGATTGGCGAGTTGCTCAAGTCGTACAACGAGCTCAACCGTTCTGGTGTCGACGAGCTCGACGAGGAGCCGAGTCCTCTCGAGTTCATGAGATATGTCGCTCGAAATAGGCCGTTCGTGGCTCGGAAGTGTGCTGCGGATTGGAAGGCCTGCGTGCGTTGGAACGCCGACTATCTGACAAACGTGGTGGGAGCGCAACTAGTGAACGTAGCCATCACACCACTTGGGTAGGTTCGGCAATTTGTGTCGCAAAGGCCTGTGGCAATCTTTTTTCTCCAGCTTGTTCGTAAAAGGCGTTGACCACGCACGTCTAGAAATGCAGACTCTCCGGTTGAAAGCGAGGACGGATCTCTCGTTTTCGTGAAGCCGTTGGAGCTGGAAGAACCGTTTGATGATGTACTTCAATACATACAGAATCAAGAACTCCAAGCTCGAGAAGACCACCAAGAGGGAAAGCAAGGTGCGGCCGCTAGGCATCCCACTTAGGCTGATTTGAAATGTTCATTGTTTGATAGGACCGATAAGATACGCGCAAACTCGTACGCATCTTCTTTGCCAGTGGAAGGCTATTCATTGACGATTACTCATCATTTTAGAAAATGATAACCTGAGAAACGAGTACGAAGTTCTCTACGCCGACGTACCAAAGGACGTAGCTTTTGCGCGTGTAGCTCTCCAACGTGCCCCGGAAGCCATAAACTTTTGGTTAGGTAGGTAATTTGCTTCGAATCAGACTATATCGGCTTTGCTCACTGAGCTCCTTGGTCAGGCAATTCGAAGAGCACGACAGCCTTGCACAAGGACAACTACGAGAACGTATACGTTCAGGTGCTGGGACAAAAGCACTTCGTTCTCCTGCCGCCGGTTGCGGCCGCGTGTGTCAACGAACAGGAGCTGCAGGCCGCAACGTACGGCTCGTCCTCGGGCGGACCTCCAGATGATGCCGAAGAACTCCTCGTTCAGGCTGACTGCCCGGGCGGTGTGGTGCCGTTCCCCACCTGGGACCCAGATCAACCGAGAATGCGGTCGACGCGATACTCGG